TGTGTATGTATACACACAATGAATACTACTCAGCCATAAAAAAGGATGAAATCTTGCCATTTACAACAACATGGATGGACCACGAAGGTATTATGCTAAGTGAAATAAGTCAGATGGAGGAAGACAAATATCAAATGATTTTACTCACATGTAGAATCTAAAAAAAAAAGCAAACAAATGAATTAACAAAATAATACAAATTTAAGCTCATAGGTACAGAAAACAGATTGGTGGTTACCAGAAAGGGAGCAGGATGAGGGTGAGCAGGATGAGTGAGTGGAGTGAGGGATGGTGATGGATGATGGTAATGACTTTTAGTGGTGACCACTTTGTAGTGTATACAGTGTATACAGATGTCAAATTACAATGTCATACACCTGAAACTTATAAAATGTTATGTACCAATCTTACCTCAAAAAATGCTACAAACTGTACCCCCCCCCGCACTAATATTAAGCGTGTGACCAGCTGAATTTCAATTTCAGAAGTCTGTTCTTTACTGCAAAGTTTAAAATACACATTTTTCAGTTTGAGAAAATGAAAACTGTATAAACCAAAAGGATGACTACTCTGTGTATGTTAAGTATGTCTTGTTGAAAACACAATGGTATACAGGCGACTAGAGGATTATAAATAAGTTGCGATCCAAAAGCCTGGAAAATCCATTGATACCTATTCCCTCATTAAAACATTCATAAATCACAACTAACATTTACTGGCCATTTGCTGCTTGTCCAGAGCTGTGCTAAGTGCTTACATCATTCTCTAAGTCTGAACAACTCTGTGAAGGGTGAAGTCCTATTTACCATTTTACTGATGAGTAAATTTATGCACAGAGCAATTAAATAGTCCAGGGTCATATTGCTAGACAGTGGCAGGGCAGAATCTGAATATGCAGACCATTTCTAGAGTCTGCCTTAGGATGAGCCATAACCATCATGAATTTCATCTCCTGCTGGGCAGGTCCAGAGGCTAGTCTATGTATCCTAGAACAGTAAAAGTAGTAATTACTAGGTAATAATAGTGACCATAGTTCTAGGACATAAAAGTATACAAAAGAACAGGATAAGGGAGAAAATACTTTTTTTTCTCCTGATAAGAAAATTTGCATTGATTCAAAGAATATACCTGTTCTATCGTTCTGAATGCAAAACTAGATTAATCTTAAAAGATTTCCATTTTCTCTCTCCTTAAACTATTTTTTTAAATGTTTACTTATTTTTGAGAGAGAGACAGAGCATGAGCCACGGAGGGGCAGAGGGACACACAGAATCTGAGGTATGCTCCAGGCTTCGAGCTGTTAGCACAGAGCCCCACGCGGGGCTCAAACACAGGACCTGTGAGATTATGACCTGAGCCGAAGTTAGACACTTAAACGACTGAGCCACCCAGGTGCCCCCGAACTATTTTTTTTTTAATTTTTTTAACATTTATTTATTTTTGAGAGACAGAGAGAGTGCAAGTGGGGGAGGGGCAGAGAGACACACACACACACACACACACACAGAATCTTAAGCAGGCTCCAGGTTCTGCGCTGTCAGCACAGAGCCCAATGTGGGGCTTGAACCCATGAACCGTGAGATCATGACCTGAGCTGAAGTCGGACGCTTAACCGACTGAGCCACCCAGGCGCCCCTGAACTATTTTTTTTTATGTTTATTTATTTTGAGAGAGAGAAAGCACAAGTAGGAGAGGGGCAGAGAGAGAGGGAGAATCCCAAGCAGGGTCTGTGCTATGAGTGCTGAGCCCAATGGGGGGCTCGATCCCATGGAAATGTGAGATGATGAAATGAGCCAAAATTAAGAGTCAGACACTTAATTTCCTGAACCACCAGGCGCCTCTTCCCTTAAATTCTTTAGAGTATGATGGTGACAAAGGTACTCTTTTACATATCTTTATTTCAGTGTCATTGGAAACTAATTTTTTCAAGCTAAACAGGAATAGTTCTTGGCTATATAAGCACTATTGTTATTTTCAAAATCTTGGGAATTTCAAAAATAATTTATCATTTAGAAGTAGCAAACAGGGGCACCTAGGTGGCTCAGTCGGTTGAGTGTCCGACTTCGGCTCAGGTCATGATCGGGTGGTTTGTGAGTTTGAGCCCCGCATCGGGCTCTGTGCTGACAGCTCAGAGCCTGGAGCCTGCTTCAGATTCTGTGTCTCCCTCTCTGCCCCTCCCCTGCTCACACACTGTCTCTCTGTCTCAAAAATAAATAAAACATTTAAAAAAAATGAAACAAAGTATCAAACAAATTTTATTTGGTAACTATCAGGCATTTTCTTCAGTTTCATAAACTTTCTAAAATTCAATGACAGTCATTTTTCTAGGAAAATAGCCAGGTCTTATTTCTCCTTATATAAACTGTTTCATTTTAAAATTATATACTCTTAGCTTCCAAATTTTTATCCACACAGGTCAATGAAATCATAATGTATTTTTGATCAGTATTTATTTCTGTATCAACTTCAGCTTTGCTCTTTTCTCAGTGCAGACAGATCTAGACTATTCTAACCATTGTAGGAGTCTGTCTTACTACTTAAGGCTAATTTTAAAAAAGTGTATGCTTACACTTTAAAGGAAAAACAAAACAATCTTTACTGAAACTTCTTGGCTGAGGCTTAATTTGTACTAAGATTCTCAATAAAAGTATACTCTTCCCTCAGATGGCACATTTTCTCTCCTTCAGCATCTCCAACTTTTCTCCTAAAGTCAGACTCCCTAATTTTCTATAAACATCATTCTCAAAGTGCCAGGATTCCTCTTTAACAAGATGGTTGATTTCACTTATCATATCTAGATAAATGATAAATGCTGAGGTTTTCTAGTAGTAGCAGTGATAGGTTATAGTGAGTCACCCCCTCTTCAACCCTTGTGACTGATGGCATGTACGTATGAGGTAATGGATCAGAATTCAGGCTCCAGGCTGTGGTTGAGGAGCAGCTTTTCTGTAAGACAATGTTAACTGTTACTGGAATTCTACCCCAAAACTTGGCACCACCTTGCAACTGAATGTTTCTCAACATTTACGGACAATGACGGGCCTTCAAACTTCTAAATGAGATACGTCAAGGAAGTATTGGGGTGCTGGGCATTCTCCCCTTGGTAGTCATCCATGGACTTCCTCCCATAGTGATACCTAAATGGAGTCTTAATTAATATGAAATTAGCCAGGCCAGAGAGGTCCAAGGAGAGGTAAAAAAAATTGAAGATACCAAAAGGGAATAGGGGAATTCAGAGAACTGCAAATAGTCTGCTACAGCTGCAGGAGATAGGAATGTATGGAAGAGTGGCAAGAAATGAAGCAAAAGAGTCTGGGTCTTGATGATAAAAGCATCTCTAAATGCAATTCTAAGTTGTTAAACTCTGTGTTGAAGGCAGTTGAGAGTCACAGAAAGTTTTGAAACAAGAACAAAGTATGAACAGATCCACTAAGGCTTTCGTGGCAGACTGAAAGAGAATAAGGAAACCAATCAGAAGCAATTATAATAATTCAGGTAAGAAATGATGAGGGATGTGGTCAGCTGTGAGAGATTAAAAATGAAAAAAATCATAGTGACTGACATAATCAGGGATATGGAAGAGGGTAAAATCAAGGATGACTTTTAAGTTCCTGGTGTGGGAGCTGACTGAAGTAAAGGATTATGAAGTAGGCTTAGGCTGGGCAGAGGATGAAATGAAGCCAGTAGGGGGTAAAGAAATTGGATATCCAACATATGCTGATACTTATTGGACTGTTAGTTTTCCAGTACATTTTCTCTAGAGAGAAAAATCATCATTTTAAAGGTCATTTTAGCTCTCTGTTATTATAGAAGATCTACTGTGTATTTCCAGAAGCAGAAAAGAGGTCATGGTCAATGTTAAATATATTTATAACATATATTCCAAAGAATACCAAAATGGATTGGACCCATATGTTCTATTCACATTAAAATATATGTCACAATCCATCTGCTTTTAAAGTGTGTGTCAGAAACAATTTCCAGAACAACTGCCAAATATCCTGGAGATGCTTTAGTTCAAATTACCAATATATGCCATTGTACTTGAACTGTTTGCTACTTGGATATATACTAAATGTAGATACATGTTGGAAATCTATTCTTACAGACTTGAAAAAAATTCTTAAATATTCTTTTTAAAAGATAAGATAGGAGAAAAAGACTGTTTATGGTGTTTCACCTCCAAAATGCACACATTTTCTTGAAGGGCTGACAGCCAAGAAAAATTTCAAAGTATACTGCTGATATAATATGAATGTCTGGATAACATAACCAAATACATCGGAGTGAACTAAAACCCCAAACTGGACTCTTTACAAGTATCTAGATACTTGAAAAACAGACTAGCTCTGAATAATCCATTAAGATATATTTTATCCAGAATGAGCCATGTAGCCAGGTTTGCTTGGATGGAATAAATTATTGTCAAATTTCTGAGCCACAATTTGTCAGCATTTCTCAAAAAATTTTTTTATAAAATTCACACAAACAGATATCTAGTTTCATAATAATTATTAATGTGGACCTAGAGTGGCTTTACTTTATTCCTCAATCTGGCTCAACTTAGATCATGGTAGAGTAAACTTCTTATATACTAAGGTCTTAAAAAATCTGGTAGATAATTAAGAAAAGAAAGAAAAAAAAAGAAGAATAAAATAGAATAAAAAAGAAAAGGTAGCATGAAAGAAAAAAAAAAAAAACCCTGCTTCATATAGACATTACTGCATGCAGCAAAACTGTCATCAAATTCCATCTCTTTTGGATATATATATATATTCATCAATAATCTATTGAAACTGCTCCTTAAATATGCAAAGGCTGGTTTTAGTAGCATAGGGTAGATTTTTCAATTTTGTAATATTGGGAAAGACACTCTTTATGAAGATGGTTTCTTCAACAATAAAACACTGTTTAGTGGAAAAAATAGAGCTTGGAATATTTTTATTATAAATGATAAATTCAACATATTAGTGTAACATTATATTAGAAAAATTACTTACTCAAGAAGATCTGGGTCTAGTCCTTCCGATATCATTTTGTTTCTTATTGCCATCACTGGAACACCCTAATCAAAGGACACAAGACAATCAATTATTAAAAATGCCTCTTTCATAAAAACAGATAAATAGACCAATGAAGCAGAACTGAAAGCCCAGAAATAAACCCAAATACAGATGATGAACTAATATTTGATGAGGGAGCAAAGCATACTCAATGGAGAAAAGACAGTCTCTTCAATTAATGGTGCTGGGAAAATTGGACAGTCACATGTAAAAGAATAAAACCTGATCTTTATTTTACACTACTCACAAAAAATTAACTCAAAATGGATTAAAGACTTATATGTAAAACTTGAAACCATCAAACTCTTAGAAGAAAATATAGGAAAAAAGTTCCTTGACATGGGTCTTCATAGTGATTTTTGTGGAAATCACACCTAAAGCATGAGCTACAACATTTGTAAATAAGTGACACTATATCAAACTAAAAAGATTCTGTTCAGCAAAAGAAACCATTAAAAAAGTGAACATAAAATACCTACAGAAATATTTAGGTATTTATAAACCATATGTCTGCTAAGGGGTTAATATCCAAAATACATAAAGAACTCATACAACTCAATAGCAAAAAACACAAATAATACAATTTAAAAATGGGCAAAGGACCTGAATAGGCACTTTTCCAAAGAAGATATATGAATGACCAACAGGTACACGAAAAGGTGCTCAATATCCCTAGTTACTAGAGAAATGCTAATTAAAAATCACAATGAGATATTACCTCTATGCCTGTTAGAATGACCATCATTAAAAGATAAGAGATAAGAGATGCTGGTATGCACGTGAATAAACAAGGGAAATTTTGTGCACTGTTGGTGGGACTGTAAATTGGCACAGCCACTGTAGAAAACAGTATGAAGATTCCTTAAAAAATTAAAAAAAAAACTACCATATGATCTAGGAATTCCAGTCCTCGGAATATATCCAAAGGAAATGAATACACTAACTCAGAAATATATCCTGTAGCCCTATTTTCCTACTAGTATTGTTTATGATAGTCAAGACATGGAAACAAGCTAAGTATCCATCAATGGATGAATGGAGAAAGAAGTTGTGGTATATACACACACAATGGAATTTTATTCAACTACAAAAAAATGATAAAATACTACCATTTATGACAACATGGATGGACCCTGAAGGTATTATGCTAGGTGAAATATGTCAGACACATAAAGACAAATACTGTATGATCTCATTCTATGTAGAATCTAAAAACAAAGCAAAACCACCAAACTCAGAAAAAAAAGATCAGATTTGTGATTACCAGAGGTGGGGGTTGGGAAGAAGGAAGGGGAATTGGAGGAAAGTGGTCAAAAGGTACAAACTTCCTGTTATAAGATAAAGAAGTGCTAGAAATGTAATGTAAAACATGATGACTACAGCTAACCCTGCTATGTGATATACAGGAAACTTGTTAGGAGAGTAGATCCTAAGAATTCTCATCACAGGGAGAAATGTTTTTCTTTTCACTGTATCTATGTGAGATGATGGATGTTAACTAAACCTACTGTGGTAATTATTTCACAATATATGTAAATCAAACCATCAGGCTGTATGCCTTAAACTTATACAGGCTGTATGCCTTAAACTTATAACTTATACAGTGATATATGTCGATTATTTCTCAATAAAACTAGAAAAAAATAGAAGCTAAAAAAAAAAAAAAAAGCCTCCTTTATAGGTCTTCACATACCCCCAAAACAAGACCTTTTATATGGCTCATTATTTAAAATTGCTCTTCTTTTGCCTTTATATTAGTATGTATGTAGCCCTTGAAAAAATTTTTTCATGTTTATTTTTGAGAGAGAGAGAGAGAAAAACAGAGCATGAGCAGGGGAGGGGCAGAAAGAGAGGAAGACACCGAACTCGAAACAGGCTCCAGGCTCTCTGAGCTGTCAGCACAGAGCCTGATGCAGGGCTTGAACCCACAAAGTGTGAAATTATGACCTGAGCCAAAGTCAGAAACTTAACTGACTGAGCCACCAAGGTGCCCCTACAAGGTACACATTTTAACTGACTTCATAGAATCAGTGCTATCAATAGCACATCCCCAAATTAAATCATTTGCACTTATCCATTACTAATTCTGCTGTACACACGTCAGATATCATATTCTCACTTTCTTATATCACCAAAAAAAAGGTGATAACTCAAATGATTAAAACTTTGGCTGGGATGGTACAATACATACTTAACAAGGTGAGTAAATTTCTTTTCAAATAAAGACTTCAGAGCTTTCTTTTTTTTTTTTTTAATGTGTATTTATTTTTGAGAGAGACAGAGTGACAGCATGGAAGGGGCAGAGAGGGAGACACAGAATCCAAAGCAGGCTCCAGACTCTGAGCTGCCAGCAGAGAGCCCCATGCGGGGCTTGAACTCCCAGACCACAGGATCATGACCCGAGCTGAAGTCGGACGCTTAACTGACTGAGCCACACAGATGACCCTGAGAGCTTTCTACTCTGAAGTATAGTTATGTTAATGTTCTTTTCCTAATGGTCCAACTCCATTTGGATACATTATGCACAAAGGTCAAATAATTCAAAGAACTCTCCTGGGTCTATTTATATATCTTGCCTCAGCAATACAAACACTAAGTAATGATAATGCTAATAGTGTACAAGTCACAAAAATACTAAGAACATATGAATCTTAAAATTCAGGATAAGAACATCAAAACTAAGAAAAGGATATGTCAGAAATAAATACAAATTTACTTGAAAAGGTAAATGATTTGATGATAAATAAACATTTATTGAAAGCTCACTTACAAAGCTCTAAGGGAAGAAGATGCAATCAAGTCTCTGTCAATTCCTGCTCTTCACATCATTCCAAAAGATGAGGAAATGTTAATATGATGTGTTAAATTTGAGGACCTTGATTATATCACTTTCAAAAGTAGAATCACTGTGCTTTAAAAGGTTGTACACATAGCTGGGACCCTCTCCGTCTTATCTCTTCATCCCATGTGGCAAAGGGGTAAGCTGAGTCAGGGACCACATGGGGAAAAAGCTCAATCATTTCTCCACTGGTGCTGCATACTCTTCCCTTCAGGCCTTCCATGTCACTAGCCAGTTGTGTGACATTCAATTTTGAACCCAAGATATAGAAGAGGCCCTTTAGGAGCACTGATAGTCCAGTCCAATTTCTCAGAGCTCTACCCTGAAGTTTCTGGCACCAACCCAATTAAGATTCCCCTGCTTTCTTTTGCAGTTGTCCCTTTTGTTTTCTAGTCTCAAAAGAGTAAATTTCTAGGGTTAGTGGTAGAATTCTGATATCACAATCCCATACCTTCAATGTTTAATAACACTATGGCAGCAGAGTGCTTTATGCTGAGAAAAGACATAATCAGTCCCTGCCCTCAGGGAGTAGTCTAATAGATGTATGTGTTAGGTAATCACAGTACAATCATGCAATTGATACAGAGGTTTCTAGAATGGGTAATGTTAGACCCAAGGAAAGGCAGACTGAGTTGAGGACAAGCAAAGGATTTGCTGAGGTGAGTCTTAAAGATGGGATAGAAGTTTTGATTAAAATGAAAAACATAAAGACTTAGAAATATACACGATGTTTAAATAATCTATCTTACATAAGTTTTCTCAAACATATATATATATATTTAAAAAAAAATTTTTTTTCAATGTTTATTTATTTTTGGGACAGAGAGAGACAGAGCATGAACGGGGGAGGGGCAGAGAGAGAGGGAGACACAGAATCGGAAACAGGCTCCAGGCTCTGAGCCATCAGCCCAGAGCCCGACGCGGGGCTCGAACTCACGGACCGCGAGATCGTGACCTGGCTGAAGTCGGACGCTTAACCGACTGCGCCACCCAGGCGCCCCTCAAACATATATTTTTAAGAACAAATATATACTTGTGTAGATAGGTCCCTCCCCAACAATGCTGATTATATTTTACATTTCACCTGATAAAATCTGCATTTAAATCTAGGCAAGTATATGTACAAATGTGAGAATCAAATGGATTATAAATTTAATATGAAAAGTCTTCAAATTTAATGACCATATATCTCTCACAAAAATGTTACAGATCTTGCCATATTAAATTCAGATCATTATTAACTACAATCCTCATTTTTAAAATCAGAAAATGTATTAACATTTAATTCTTACTTTTTGAAAAATGTCCAGAAAAGTTGGTTATAGAAGGAGTCATAAGTTGCCTTCTATAGCCATAATTTCTTATTTCAGTAATGGAGGAAGGAAAAGTCCAAGTTCTCTACAGCTTGCTAGGTTAAAGGAGGTTGGGAAAACAGGCTGTCTTTCAAATTTATAGGTTACCCAGAAGACTCTCTCTCCTGAGAGGCAGCAAAGGCAAGACTGTCATTTACAGGCCCTTGTATACATTCATCTTCATAACTGTTATGTTTAAATTATAAATTAGTAAAATGTAATCTACTAAGCAGTGGACATTTAAATGCATCCTAAATGTTAGAAAGATGAAAATAAATAACACCTTTGTAAAAATTTCTTCAAAGCCATACTCCTTAAAGTAAAACTGTTCCATGGGGCAATCTTTAATAAATTCTAAAAAGTAAAATATGGTAGGTTTGTAAGGCAAAGAATGTGGAAGATAAAACTTTGGGCCTCTTGTTAGCTTACGAAGTTTCAGAATAAATGAAAGGGAAAAAAAAGGCAGTTACTTGCTTAGGGCCATCCAATGTGAACAGACACTTACATTTGGAAGAAAAAAGCAGGAGTTTAGAATATTTCATAAAAATACACTAAAGTGCTAAGGAGAGATGTGAAAAAAAGCAGAATTTTATATTTCTTTAAAAATACCTCTTTCTATTAACTATGGTTTGATGGTATAAGGTCTTGCTACAAACTCAACTACATGACTTATTTATTATACTTTAGCATAATCCATAGGACATCATCGGAAAGGTTATATAAATAAGTTACAAAGCCAAAAAAACAGAAGGGAGGAGAAATGTGGTTGAAAAAAACATTTCCTAAAAGATAGCAAAAAAAAGTGTGTATG